AGCTGCTAGAAGTTATTTCTCACGAACGTTCGGTTAGCATTTTGCCTTGTACGGAAATTTCTGAAAACTCGTTGATAAAGCAGGCAGTGTTTATGAAAATGGAAATTATACGAGTTGCACCGGCCAACTTGATAATAACAAAATTATGCCGTTTATTTCGCATTTTTTGGGTTTTCCATCCGTCGACAATGTTGTTGGTTTTGTTATTGAACATCATGTGTTCATTGCATACAGGATCATCATTCTGAAATAAAACAACAATAAACCGTCAGCAATGATGAATGTATTAATTGTAGATTTTCTACACACATTCTATGCTTTTTAGACTAGTTCTCGATTATGTCGAAATATATTTTATTGTTATAATTATTAGAAAATTGTTACTCAGTTGATTTGACAATCTAAGTTATAGTATGTCAAGGTTCAAGAGCTAAACTTGTTGTTCGTGCAATTGTTGCTTACTTGTTTATTCATTGTATTGATTTTGATATCACTGTAACTTTTCATACTGAACATGAAACAGAAATAAAAACATACATAATTTCAATTTGTAATTATAATTCCAACACGAACAACTAGCTTTGATTCTTAAATTTTGATACTGTGTAAATTAGATTGTTATAATTATTTATATTATTATCATATCTGATATCTTTTACAAGATTGGAATAATACGTATGTTTATATATGAAGTTTTAGTTATATTTTATACAACTACTTACTTTAAGTAGATTTTCAGCCACGCCGTAAAAATCGTCGGTTGCAAATATAATTTTTGCTGCGTTCTATAATTTTTAATTATTTTATTAAATTCTTATCAGTCGATAAAAAAAGTGATTTATCATGGTAATAAAATAATGTATTAAGTTATTGGAGAAAATGGTGATATATATGTATATAAAAGAAAGAACTTAAAAGTATTGTTTAAAAGCGAGTAGAAAATGAGTTTTGCTTTTTATTTAGATACTTAAAAAATTTGGAAAACTGGTGATATCAATAGGAGCCAGTATATTTGTACATAGAAGTATGTTTGCTCCAACAATAATACAGTTATTTTTTTTTGTCTACTAAGTAATCACTTTAAAAAGAAATTACTTTTTCGGATGTGACTTCGGTTAATTCCATTGACTGTCTCCATGGAGAGTCGAAATCTTCGGATTTATCGTTGCTCTCCGTTTCTGTCTTT